GGGGGGGGGGGTGGACGGCAGCACCTGCTCCGGCAGCACCGCCCTGCCGTCACGGCACCGGGCGAATTACAGGGAGAGAGGCTCCCTGAGAAGGCGCTGGAGGCAGCTGAGCAGAGGAATTCCGAGACCCCAGCAGCTGCGGGAGAGCTCGACGCCGCGACGCCTTCCCAGGAATGTGTTTTCCTTCCTGCTGCCGCGGCACCTGCCAGTAGGTGACACATCCGCTGCCCCGTCCCAGGGTCCCCAGAGCCTCGGCTGCTGCTGCGCGCATCCCCACGCCACCCTGGCAAGAGGGCGTCCACGCGCTTCGCTGCCGCCCACCGCAGAGGGGACCTGGAAGGGGAACGGGCTGGCGTGGGACGAGAGGGAGGGCACTGGGGCGGTGGCCGAGCCGAGCGTGGAGTCGCGGCCCCTGCGTCTCAACCCAACCCAAAGCAAGTGCTGCTTCTCCAGTTACGGCTGCGGCAGGCTCCAGGAATGTGGGTCTCCCCGCACCGAGGCTTTCTGCACACCTATTTTTAGCACGGCAGACGTTGCGGAGCCCCTGGGAAGCCGTCTGTGCTGTCTCTGCAGCCAGGGGGGCCAGGAGAGGTTCACCGGCTGTGACTCCCCATGCACAGAGCACCCCGGGTCACTGACGGACCCCGCAGGCAGCCGGCTGCTCGGCAGCACGGAGCGCTGGCGAGCGCTGCTCGGCCTGGGGCCGTTCTCCTCAAAACAGGCCCCACCTGAGGCAGAGATCAGTGCCAAACTCCGACACCCACGTGCTCCGCTCGAGAGAGAGACGGAGTGCCCTGCGGCCACCGCGCGTGGCCCTGGGAGCGCCGGGAACGAGTGACGCGGCAGCTACAGCTACGTAGGACGGGGACTCGCACACTCCGGGGTCCGCGTTCACCCCAGAGCAGCCTCTGCCCCCCAGGGCCAGCCTTCACAGGGCCCCATGGCAGCGCACCGTACCTCCAGCTTGTGCGAGACCAAGGAGAGGGCGCCCGGGTCGAGGTTGGAGGCTGCCAAGACCTCGCTGAGCTCCACCTCCTTTTTCTCCAGGACGCTGAGGAGTCCTTTCAGCTTGCGCTCCAGGAGCAGGTTCTTGAAGCCCGTCTTCTGCTGCACCTCGTTAATGGCTTTGGTGAACTTCCGATAGAGCTCGTCTCGCTCCTCCTGCACCTGCTCCCAAAGACAGCACGCCTTCACACCGCCCTCAGGACCCCCGGGCTGGCGGCCCCCCGGGGCTGGCAGCACACAGGTCCGGCAGCTCGGCCCTCCCGCCTGCTCCGGCGAGAGCCCGGCCACTCCCCACGGCACCTGCAGCTGCAGCCCGCGGGGGAACGCAGGTGCTGGCGCGCAGCTTCCCTCCCTCCCTCCGTGGCTGGCAGCCCCGCAGCACCTGCACTTCTGCTTCCTCCTCCCCCCCGGGCAGGGGGCACCCCCAACGGCAGAACGGGCCGACGGGCTCGTTGCGGCACTGTTTTAGACCTCAGAGGGGGCCCCGCAGCACACGGGGGTCTCTCCTCTCCTCCTCGCAGCTGGCAGGAGTCCCTGGCTCACAGCTAGTTAATAAGTGTCCTAATTAGGGCACAATCTCTCCTCCACAGCCTATTTCTGAATGCACTGAATATGTTGCTGCCTTAATGATGGATTGTTAACGAGGCCTCAGATCAATGTTCATATTCCTGGGGATTTCTACGAATTGCAAATGAGCTCTCTTCTGCCTCAACAGATTTATCTGGGTTAGCTGCGGGGGGAGAGGCTGAGTCTGGGAGGACTCAGCCGACAGGACTCATCTGGAGCCGGCCCAGCCCGGCAAGCGGGGGGAGCGACCCCCGAACGCTGGCAGAAGGAGGGAGCGAGCTGCGGCCGGGGGGCGGTGGCCCGTGACAATCTCTCCCCACAGCTCTGCCCCCGAGCCTCTGCCCCGGCCAAGAAAAAAATCGCTTATCAGGGTAGGAGGCCAGGCCTGTCTGCTGACCACGGGAGATGCCAAAGCTGTGAGAAGCTTTGTCGGAAGCAGCAGTTACCGCACGGCTCTGGATTACCAGCGTCAGAAAGCCCCCGGCTAAGCACAGCCCAGGCGGCCCCGGCTGATTGCCCATGCCCAGCCCTCCGCGGAGGCGACAGGGTTTGGAGAGGGAAGTGGGATGCCCAGACCCACCGCAGCTCTCACCTTACTGAACCTCTGCTCCAGCACCTCGTGTTCCCACTGAAGATCCTTCAGCTCCTTCTGGGTGACTTTCAAACGGGCTTTTGTGTTCTGCGAGCAGGAAGGGAGAGTCAAAGAGCACGGGTTTCTCTGGGAGGTGTGGGGGATGCCTTCCGGCAAGGGAGGAGAGTGACCAGCAGAGACACGGGCGAGAAAAAACAAGCAGCACCCACACCAGCCCCCTTCCCTCTCTGCAGCGGGGGCTACTCTGGTTTCTCGCTGCCGGAGTCCCAGGAGTCCCACCCGAGATCTTACGAACACCCAGCTAAGCTGCAAGGGGCTCAAAGGACTTTGCTCGGCCATCTGGCCAAGCAGCTCCCGGCCGAGCGGCGGAGGTGACTGCTGAGCGACTCCCTCCAGAAAGAGCCACGGCGACTCGGGAAAGGACAGGGCTGGCTGCTCACCGTCAGGGCCTCCTTGTCCTTGTCATAGTGGGCCAACTTCTTCTGCAGCTCGGACACCTGCTCCTGGGCCTGCTGCAGGGGCTCCTTCAGCTGCTTGTTCTGGAGCAGCACATCCGCCTTCTCCTTTTCCAAGTGATTCTCTCTCTTCTTCATCTCCTCCGCCTGCTCCTGTTCTTGGGAACACGAGTGCCGACTCCTGGGGGCTGCCTGGCTCCTCAGAGCTTCCCACACCGTCAGGACACCCTCCCGCTGCTGGCCCAGCGAGAGACTCCTCCCTGTGCCCAAGAGCTTCGCTCGTGTAACGGTGTACAACCCTCAGGAGACCAGCAGCGCGTACACCCACACCGGCCAGGTCTGGGTGAAATCCTCAGGGGACCGGTCCCTCGGTGGAAGGGTGACGCTCTGCCGGCAGCGGGGCGGGCAGTACCTTCAGCAAGCTGATGAGCGCCAGGTTTTTGAGGGTGATATCATTGTAGTAGTTCTTGATGTCACTGAAGGCCTTCTCGTGGTTCCTCATCAGCTCGCTGATCTGGCTGTTCTTCCTCTCCTCCACCTCGTGGATCTCCGTCTTCCTCCGCAAGTCAAGCTCGTCCCGCAGCACTTGCATCTTCTTGGTGTACTTGGCCTCGATCTCTGGGGGAGCGCACAGGGGGCTGAGTGAGGACCTCCTGGAGACCCTGCGTAATGCACCCCAGCTCCGTTAGCCAGCGCCAGCCCGGCGCGTGCCACCGCGGCGTTACTCGAGGACAAGACGCTCGTTAGCAGCGTCACCGCAGCTGCCACCAGCGTGCAGAGCAGTTACGCTGGGACCACGGAGAGCAGAGCCCAGAAATAGCGTCCTCGGAAAGAGGGCATGGACACGCTCCAAGTCAGCCCGTGGGAACCTGAAACGTCCCCTGAGGAAGGACGCTGGAGCAAGGACTCTGCAAGGGCTCCTCCAGCCACCCCACCCCGCGGCCTGGAGAAGCGCGGCCAGGCAGCTGCACCCCTCAGCCCACGCTACAGGCGCCCGGCCTTGTTCCGTTCGTGCGACGCTGGGGGGTCTGGCAGCCCCAGAGCACGGGGAGGGGGGGCAAGAATTGGGGGAAAACCGGCCCCCTTTCTGCTCGAGGCTCTGCCAGGGAGCCCGGCAGAGCTCGGAGGAGCCTTCCCCGGCACACTGGCAAAGGGAGGCCACGCAGGAGCTACACGCACGTCCCGACCTTTCACTTGTCTCTCGAAGTCGGTGCACAGCTGGGTGATCTCCTCCTCCTGTTTCTGTTAGGGAGAAGCTACATGTTAGAGGCAGACAACCAAATCCTGAGTCAGCCGCATCCCGAGGGATTCCCTCCCGCTCCCTGGGAAAGGCTCCCGCCCGTGGCACCAATCCCACGTTATCCGTGCAAACGGCGGCTCGTGGGCTCTCCGGCTGCTCTCGCAGCTCCCTGCTGCGGGAGGGGGGGGTTCACAGGACCTGCCCCAGGAAGCCCTTCTCCCCGTTCCCGCACCGACTTTCTAGTGCCTCGAAGTCCACCGGCGCCTGCAGGAAACCCCATCCCACCCCACGGAGAGAGACGGGGAGGCGGGCTCCCGCTCAGGCGCCGGGGCTGGGAGGGGTCAACCGGACCTCCCCCTGCAGCAGAGGCCCCTCGCACGCGGCTCCGGCCTGGCCAGGGACGTACCAGGCGCATGTTTTTCACCACCACCTCGTTGGCCAGCTCCTGCTCCTTCAGCTCCACTTTCAAGGAGCGCACGTCTTTACGCAGCTCCATCTCCTGGGCCCAGTGATCCTTCTGGGCCCGCTTCACGGACAGGGTGCCCTCCGCCTTCAGCTCGGTGAGGTTTTCCTGGTGTTCGTACAACAAGTGCTTCACCTTCTGCTTGTAAACCTACAGACAAGCCACAGACCGGGTGAGGGGCTTCAGCAGGAGACACCCGCAGCTGGGATATTGGCCGAGACTTGCATCCTGCCCAGCTCCTCCTCTTCTTCCCTCTCCCCCTCAGAGCTGCCCGAGGCTCACCCGGAGCTTGGGGCACTCATAACACCTCCCAGCCTTCTCCCCTCCCACCTTGATCTCCACTTGATGCCGCTCCTCCGCCTCCTCCATCTCCCGGTCCTTGTTCCGCAGCTCTGCTCTCCTCTCCTCCAGCTGCCGGCGGGTGATCTCCCAGAAGGTGTGGATCTTGTCACGCTCCAGCTGGAAATAGTTGCGCTCTTCCCGTTCCCGGTCCAGCTCCTCCCGGAGACGCGCGACGTGCTTTTCCAGCTGCAAAGCCAAGGGGAAGAGCCAGGTAGGGGGAAAAGGGGGCCTCGGACAGATGCCTCTGCAAGACGCCCGTGGCAATCTGTGTCGCAAACCTGGCAGGACACAGTGGCTGTTACTGGGACGGAGAAGCGCAGGAGAGAAGGGGAGGAGCCCTGACACACCCTGGACCTTACGGAACCCATCAGCCTCTGGAAAAGGAGTAACAAAACCTTACCCTACTACTGTAAGCAGCCCGGGCTCAGATATTCTGTCTCGCAGTGTCTGGTAACACCATTTTCAGGTGCCTAAATACTACTGAATCATAGAATCATTTAGGTTGGAAAAGACCCTTAAGGTCATCAGGTCCAACCGTTAACCCAGCACTGCCAAGTCCACCACTAAACCACGTCCCTGAGCACCACGTCTGCACGTCTTTTAAA